ACACACACACACTTTGGTGGGCATTCTTCTAGCAGTGCAGTGTAACCTGAAGCTTTAAGAAATGCTGTGTCCTTTATTGGACTCCAAGAAAATAATTTTATGGTGATTACAAGAATTCTGTTCTCTGACATAAAGTAAAAAAAGAGCAGCAGTTATGAACAGCTAAATCTTAATAGCTTGTTTATTACCATTGTCTAACCTGTATTTTTCTGATTTTGTAATAGAAGGAATTACAGAAGGCTCCCAAAAAGGAAGACTTGAAAGACTTTATATTAGACAAGTAAGTAATCAGTGAAATAGTAAATATTTTCTGGTAAAGTTGATCTGTTTTTATTGATTTTTCATTTACCGTAAATATACCAGAACAGTCATGGCTATGCTCCAAGGTACAGTACCTATAGCTGCATTAATAACAAGATCTGAAACATAATCAAACCCAGATATTACTCTGAAAATGTAGCTGTGACATTTCTGTGTTGCATATAGTCTGTACAGAGAACAGACCTTTGGGAGGAGCCCAGTAGGTCTACTCAGTACATGCTGCCTGGTGGTACAGCTTGGGGGAAGTCTGCGGAATGGAGAGAAGGTAACTAAAGAGGAAAAACTCCTGGGGTGAAAGCCTTGAGACTCACAACAAGCAAAGTACGCAAACGGCATGCATGCTATGTAATATGCTAGTGTAACTCCTACAGGGATATATTACTCCTCCTGACAATGTCATCCATGCTCCTCTTACCTCAGAATGCCGGTGACATCAGAGCATTCGTTATTCTACCATCAGCCATAGTCAGCACCTACTGCTTGATCTAAGATACTGGCCAGTGCCCTTGCTGTCTGCAAACACATGTTCATTCACATATCACAGCCCCTCGCTCCTGGCCCTTACTGCGACTTGCCAGAAAGGTACAATGTTACAACAGTCCCAGTGAGTAATCATGGGAAAGGAGATGCTAAATAAATGCTTCTCTCATGTTTGCAAAAGACTGATGACTTTCTTCCAGATCACTTCTCGTGCCTTGGCACAGTTACTTGACTGGAGCTTAAGAAATGCTTTTTTTATGATAAAAGGTGTATTTTTTTTTTTAAAGCGGAACTCTGGGTGAATTTAAAAGTTACTCTTCAGTGGGGCTTCCCCTGCACTGCAAGGGTTAAATGCTCGTTTTTGTCTATGGGTAACATAAATACAATGTAATATGAGTGCAAAGAACTTGGAGAATAAATAGACATTTGTTTTTGTTCAGTTGTTTAGTACTTGAAAACAAGAATGTTTAGGATTGTACGTTTTAGGGCATGTAAAGTGTGAGTACTGTGAGCGACTAGTACAGGTGAAACTCGAATAATTAGAATATCGTGCAAAAGTAATTGCAGTAAGTGCTGCAAAAGGGGCCCAAACCAAGTACTGAGTACATATGCATGCTTGTACTTTTCAGAGGTCCGATATTGTTCTATGTACAATCCTTGTTTTATTGATTGCATGTAATAATCTACTTTTTTGAGGTTGTGGATTTGGGGTTCTTGGGGTTTTCATGAGCTGTAAGCCATAATCATCACAAATATGACAAATCACGGCTTGAACTATCTTGCTTTGCATGTAATAAGTCTATCTCATATATTAGTTTCACCTTTTCAAGTTGCATTAGTGAAATAAATGAACTTTGCACGATATTCTAATTGAGTTTCACCTGTATTTGTAAGCTGAAGTTGCAAAGGAAATCGGCTAACTTTTTTATTTATTTTTTACTTCAGATACATGTTGGTTGACGATGAGGAGGATAAAAAGACTCACAGACCACTAATGCCAAAGGAGGTATGTAAACACTTTGCTGAGCTGGAATCTGCTTATTCTGCACTCACCTGTATATATATTTGCAGGAGCATGCACAATCATTTCCTGTGCACTGAAGTATATTTGTTCACTCTCATGGTGCATTTATGCAACTTAGTGCAAAATATCCCCAAAAGTTCGATTTAGGTTTGGAGTTGTAGAGTAGGAACCATGAGGTATCATTGGAATCCACTTCATGGCCCTGCCAAATCCTGTTTAGAATTTCCACTTGCAGGTTTTGGGAAATGTAGTCACACCTCTCCACATGTGAAAGGGCTGCTCTAGTTTGTTTCTTGGGCATGACTTCCTGGCTAAGCTCCACCAGTTGCAATCTCCTTGTCCTTTGGGCCACTAGAGCAGTCTTATTGGACAGTAGTTAGGCAGTTGGCATGGTCCTGCCACAAAGTCAGGCCAATGTTGTCTAAAATCAGTCATTTCAGTAGATGTCAGGTGTCATTTTTTTAATCCTTATTCTTTAAATCTGTCTTTTACAGTGCTGGCAGGCCCCTCCTAAAGTAACCATCTTGTTTTCTATTGTATAGTAACTGTAATGTCTTCCTTATATTGTAAGGACTGGCGCTATATAAATACTGTATAATTATAATAATGTCTTTTAGATTGTAAGCTCCCACGGGCAGGGCCCTCCTTACCATTCTTCCTTATATTGTAAAGCACTGCGCAAACTGTTGGCACTATATAAATCCTGTATAATAATAATGCTTTCCAGTATGAACCTTCTCATTACCTAGAATACATTTAGCAAACACTTCCTAATTTTCTAATTCTAGGCCCCAAAGAAAATGATTCGGTACATTGACAATCAGGTGGTCAGCACAAAGGGGGAACGGTACAAAGATATGAAGAAGCCTGAGAGTGAAGAAATGAAGAAAACGTACATAAATCTCAAACCTGCCAAAAAGTACAAGTTCCACTGAAGTCATTGAGACCTTTGCTGGCTTATGTGCACTGGATAGGTAGAGAACCCGGCTCTGGCAGCACCAGAGAATCTCATTGTTGGCTACATTTTTAAATGTAATGATTGTTTACTTGTGATGGGGAAGAAGTGTTCTCTTCCCACTAAAGCAATACATAACACTGGGGAAACAGACAGCACACGTGTAAATATCCCACAAGTGTATGTATTTTATTATTGTCATTTTCTTGTTTGCAAGTATTGCAGTGAATTGTGTTTTTTGTTGTTGTGCTTACACTTTGGAGTTTGTCTGTGTACTTTTGCTGGTCTTTGACTCACAAAACCTCAAATTGCAATAGGTGTGTAAATAAAAAAAATCCCAGCAACTGAGCCACATTGTTTCTAAAGCTGACCATACACTGCTCTAATTTTATAGTTTAACCCGTGGGAGTGAGCGAAAGAAATAGAGAGGATTCCTCCATCCACATGATGAGTATGTCAATCGAGGAATCCCCGCTGTTTGCATTGTATTCTGACAGCCAAACATTGTATTCCGAATACCCGAACAGAGCCGGCAGCTCTTTGGCTGCTGGCTCTGGTCATACAAAGATTTTCCTGCCGGCTCCTTTGATCAGCTTCGCACAGTGTATGGGCACCTTAAGTTTGTGACCTGCCAGCACAGTCATACGGGATGAAACGAAGAGCAGAGTGTTTTTATTCATTGTATTTTTGGATAAGAATGACTACAGTGTACAGATTAAATGTATGAAAACTGTGAGTACAATACAGAAAACTCCAATAGAAAATGTGTTCTGTAACATTACTATGTATACAAACGAAGTATGAAGACCCTTCCTATATTTTATACCTCTCATATGTGCCTTTTCCCGTTTCTCCTTCTACATAAGGATGGCCATAGATAATTAGAAGAATTTTTGAACATCCTTTATATAAATATAACCGAACACAGGACAGGAACACATTTTGTAAATGGTCCATGCCGTTTAAGTGTAATTAGTCTCTCTGCTCCATTGCGCTTTAAACTGTAAGGTCAAAGACAAGGACAACTTTTCATCTGGTACATCAAATATTTGATTATATAAGCAAGATGTATAGAATTGTAAAAATAATTGACCCTTTTTAGATGCAAACAATCGGTATGCAGGAATTGAGTGGTTCTCCATGTGGTGTTTAATTCAATCATGTATACTTGTGTAGCAGATTTGATGTCGGCACCCCCCCACTGTGAATGTTTGCATAGTCTGCCAAGAATTTTGCATCCTATTGGAAAATGATTTTTTGTTTTGTGCCAGTATATTGTTTGTGATTGTTATTGTACAACAAGTGAACCAGTTGTGTATCTTTATCAAATCTTCATTGTATCTGATGAAACAGCTTATCTATTTGTTCCTCATATACTCTATTTGATTTGCATAGACTTGTGTTCAGTTTACTTTTACATAAGTATATTATATGCTAGGGAAGCTTTGATTAAGAGAGTGTTTTTTGTTTTTTTTGTTTGTTTTGTTTTTTTAAACAAGGTATGGTGTTTCAATACAGACGAGCTGGAATGCAATCTCTTATGAAAGGAATTTTACAGAGTGCTCAACTTTAAACAGATTTGCCTTTTGTGACTGTTTGTTTCATATGGCAGCTTTTCTTTTGTTTTCTTGCTAAATGTAGTCTGGGAGGACCTTAAAGGAGAACTATGGGTTCAGGGCTTTTCCCCATACTTCTCCTAAGGGTAACGGAAGAACACAAACTAGTGTCCTCCCGCCAAAGCTCAGTATACAGTGATCTACAGCTCGCGGTATACTGAGACGCTGCAGCCGGGACGGATAACATTACTGTCTGGATCCACCAAGCTGCGTGAGTGATAGCTGGCTCTGCCTATCTGGAGGCAAAGGCAGCTGTACCCGCCCCCTCCCCCGTCCGTTCCGCCAGTCAGTGCTGGAGGGGGGGGGGGGATCCCTGCAGGGAGCCGTGAGTGACATTCACGGCTCTCTGCAGGGACAGGATCGAGAAGTGAGCGAGCGATGGTATGCGTTCGCTCACTTCCTGATCTACTGAGCCGACCTGTGACAGTTTCATTGTCGCAGGTCAGCTAGAACTATGAGGCTGAGTGATTTTCACTCGTCTCATAGTTCTCTAAGTTCAGACATAATTAAAGTGGCATTAAAGCCATACCCCCCAATGCTGCTGTAAGGACACGCCTTATGTGATGCCACTTGATCCGAACAGCTTTCTTCTCATTTTCCACAGTCCCTCCAGCGCTGGTGCCGGTCTCTGATCCATCACAAACTCCTCGTGTCCCATGGAGTCTGTCCGACGTTTGCACTCCTGGCTGCGTCCATTCAGTCTCAGCAGTGCTCTCCTGCTCTCCCCTCCATTGATCTGGACTGCGCATGCGCCCACCCACACTTCCTTCTTGACAGCGTTTGGGAGTCAGGACGTCTGCAGCCAGGACACAAGTTGTTATTTTTTCTTTCTAATGTTGAGGCATATATATACTGCTTACTAGCAGTCGATATATTCCAAAAAATAAGAGCGTTTCATTCTACTTTAAAGGAGTAACTAAAGGTTGGTAATCATTTTATTGTGATGGTTAACTTGGTTTGAGTGTTAAAATGAACTCCGTGTTTGTTAAAATGAAATTGCATTTTCTCAGAGTTCTACTGAAGCTTTAAAATGACCTCGTCAAATGGTCAATATATTCCCACGGCATCATCATTATTAAGGGGATTTTTTTCTCAATTGGTTGTGTGTGTGTGCTGTATGTACTCACTGTTTTTTGGATAGAGTAGATGTCGGAGACTGTTTCAGACCTCCAACCATTTCTTTAAAGCTGTACGTAGTTTTGCTACTTGTTCTCTATCATGTGATCTCACAAAGAACTGAGGGCTGAATGCAATATGTGAAGATGGAAGCTTTCTACTGATGTGCATTGTTTCTCCTCCTGTATAGCTGGGTCTCAAAATCCGCCTGAACACTCTAATGCTAAAGTTATTTGTGCGAACCTGCTTAAAAAGAAAATTCAACCTCTACCATGATGCATGTCAATGTTTTGGATATTATTTATGGCATTGTAGTATTATTACTATTACATATATCAAAGTTTTTAGGGTTTTCTGAAGAAATATTACAATAATTTTCTAAGACAGAATTATGTATACCGTAAACTCTTTTCAGTTTCAGTGTTACTGTAGATAAATAGTGCACATTTTATTCTGTGATTTATCCTGTTTATACTTAAGATTAGTATCTGGTACAAATAATGGCAATTAAGTAAAATTGTTTCTTTTATAATTTTGTGTATTTTTCTTTTAAAGTGACACTAAACTGAGGAGTTAAACCTTAACTCATAAAAATGCATCTTATTTGTGTATCACTCGGCTGTAGGTCCTCAAATCATCTCTGAATTCATGCTGACACTGTCCTTCCTTCTGGAGGGTGGCTACTTTTGTTCCCCATGGTCCTTGTGTGTTCTATAAAGTAGTCACCGCTCCAAGCTCACTCCTGTGATGGACTACAATCTCAATACAAAATCTCACGTTTAATTTACTAATTAGTATTGAGATTGTAGTCCATCACGGGAGCAAGCTTGGAGTGGTGGCTTCTTCACAACACACACAGGGACCATGGGGAACAGAAGTAGCCACCCTCCTCAGTAGAGCTGAGGAAACGGCATCCAACTCATCTATGAATACTACTGTATGTAAGAATCGGCAAAAGGCTAAGGGGAGAAGAGGAGAGATTAGTTAATTTGGGCTTATTAAGGTAAACAAGAGTATTTAGGGGGTTGAATAGGTAAATAATTTAATTAAAAAAACACATTACTGACATTCTTTGCAGATCATAGGATGCCTCTCTGACCTGAACATAGGAGGACTAACTAACCAACATCGAAACATTATTGTTGTCACAATATATTTACAAACAAAGCCTGCTAACACTGTTTGCAAGCTTCATTTAGGCAGGGGGAAACCTGAAGCAGTACAAGATCTCTGTAGCCCAGTTCCTGTCTCTAACCAAGTGTATAAATTTAGCATTGCACATAAGGTAGATTGTAGTTTGTGTGAGAGGGCAAGAGAGGGGAGAGATTAGAAATATTGTACAGTCAGAGCCCAGTCACAGCGGAGGTCTACACCCATACAGTGCAGGAAGCGTGGCTGCATACGAGCAGGGACACCAGGACCCCCGTGGTTTCCCATATCCAACTGACATCTTGTGCCCGGGTTTCAGCTGGCCTGAAACACGGACACAACACATGCAGGACTCAAAAAACCAGGACTGTGCAGGTGAACAGATGGCAACCCTAAAGGAATACCTCTGATTAGGGACAAAACGTCAGTCTGGGCGGCTCATCTGTCCCTAGCCACGGATAATAACTGCTTGGGTGATTACACAGTAGCAGCTGCGAACAGTGTCAGCCTGGCCTAAATTTGTAAAGGCTTGCTTCCCTCAGCTAGTCGGAAACACCCGGCCGTACTCGTACGATGATATTGGTAGTGTACAGCAATGACTGCCCATGTTATGAAAAACTGTCCACCACCCACAGAGCAATTTCATAGACTGTCATCTGTCCCCAATCGCTGCTATTCACTACACGTGTAAAGACATGCGCAGAGTCAGCTTGGCATTGATTTGTACAGGCTGAGCGCCCACAGCTAAGCGTGGACTCCTGACTGTACCCGCTGCAAAAATGTGTGCTGATCTTGGGGTTATACGACCATGGGAACGATTCCTAAATCTGGAGTTGTTGCCCATAGTGACCAATCAGAATGATATTTATTATTTAAATTTTGTATAAAATAAAACTGAAACCTCAATGGTTGCTACCAGCAAAACTCCAAATGCTTATTTTCTTCAGTATCAATGAATCAGCCCCATAGTGTCTGGTGTTTTGGTGTGGTGTAGGACCTCAATGTGCACTTATCCCATATAAAGCAAATGAACAACACAATGATCAAGTTCACTACAGTTATTTCTTTATTATCACATTTTGATTAAATATATAACCACAGAACACAGAGATGTTAGTATTCTATGTGTGCGTATATACAGTGCATGTATATAAAGAGTATACACACAGGGCTAGTTCCTGTGTCTTTGCTCCTAGTGAGCTAGGCTTCAGTCACAGCATGATGTTAGCTAGAATGGATGATACAATATAAATATGTCTTATCTGGTTCTGCAGTAATAAATAAACCCATCCGTAGTGTCACCAGAGGGGCAGTCTGCTGCTTTGCGCTCTGTAAAAAAAAGGTCAACAAATCAAAGATCCTGATGTGCTAATAATCACTATCAACCTCCTGTTGAATTATGGCAGTAAAAGCGGGCTGCCTCCAGACACAAAGTAATGTCCTCCGTCCTCACAGCACCTTTTAAAATGTTTACAGCTGCTGTAAAGTCTGGCTGCAGCGTGCCCGTGTGGTAGTGTTATGGGGCATGACTGCTTTCCTCTTGGCAGCGGTAGAGAATGTGATCATGGCATCTAAACAGGCTCAGGAAATACTGCTATATTTGAAGGTTAATAAACGGTGCAAATCCAACAACGTCCTGCAAGAGAACCAACGCTCGTTGTAATGGAGGCTCCACGTCTAATGTTACATCTCTCTTCCTCAGGATTCCTAGGCTGGACTCTGTCACATTGTGGCAGTGCTTTACTTTAAGGGATTTCAGTTTTGGACAGTACTCGGCTAAGATCCTGCGGGAGAAAAGAGAAAGTTTATCTTAATATTCTTAAATAACATAGCTGTTTTGTGGTTAAATTAACTGCATTCAGAGGACAAAAAGCTGGAGAGATCTACAGGATATACAAGCTTTCTGACAGCACTAACAGTTGCTTTATGCAACTGGAACAATGTCTGCAGCTGATGTCAGATAGGAAGCTGTGGACAGGACCACCCACAAGGATCCAAACTCTCCACTACGGACAGGTATCTTATGACAATATTTGGTTTCATTTTTTTAAACAGATGTATAAAGTCCCCTTGAAATGGCATTCCAGTTTACTTTTTTTTTTTCCATCTGTTTGCCACGTCTCTCTTATATAAAGCACAGAGGTGTTCACCTGCTACAGCTCCATGTAAGAAACATAGAAGGGTTACTATTTTTATTAGAATCTGAAACTATTTTGAAGGGGTGATATTAACATATCACTCATTTTAGGCTCTGAACACGCTCCACATCACCGGGAATAACAATATACCCTGGAGTTACTAGTCAGTAGGAGTCAAATGCTCCTGCTTATTTGGTTTCTGGGACTTAAACATGCCCTTGGAGTCAGCAGTAGGAGGAATAGTGCCCCTTTTCCGTATCCGTGGAAAAAATAGTGCCTCATCATTGGTGTCAGTGAAGATACTGCCTTGTAGTTGGTGCTAGTGGGAGGAATAGTGCCCTATTGTTGGTTAAAGGTGGAGGAATAGTGCTCCATTATTGATGCCAGTGTGAGAAATGGTGTCCTGTCACTGGTGTCTGGGAGGAATAGTCACCCATTGTTGGTGTTAGTGGGAAGAGTAGTACCCTGTTGTTGGTGTCAGTGAGAAGAAGGGTTCCCCATTGTTGCTAGTGGGAAGAATAGTGACCCATCTTTGGTGTTAGTGGAAGGAATAGTGTCCCGTCACTTGTGTCAGCGGGAGAAAATATGTGCCCTCATCGTTGGTGTCAGTAGGAAGAATAGTACCCCATCATTGGTGTCAGTGAGAAGAATGGTGCCCAATATTTGCCAGTGGGAAGAATAGTGTCCCGTCATTGGTGTCAGTGGGAGGAAAAGTTCCCCATCATTGGCACCAGCAGAAGAAATAGTGTCCTATCATTGGTGTCAGTGGAATAATGCTTCATCGTTGGGAATAAGGAAATGGGGTCAAGAAAGCCCCCCCGCATTAGTGTTCAGTGGTCTGTATGAGGTTCAAGTCTTGTGCTGTTTCTCCATAGGCTGGATGACATCACAACCAGAACTATAGAAGCTCTGCCACTCACTCCATCCAATGCTGTTAAGGAACTGTGGGGGCTGGTTGAACGTTCTGGATTCCAGTACTCTGCAATGAAAACTGCGCTCACATGGGGACTTCTCAGAGCAGGAGCCAGTAACCAGCTAGCAGCAGGTTGTAGTTTGAGGGCTACTGATATATGGAACTTACAGAGAAGTCAGGTTGAACAGTTTGACATACAGTATACAGTGATGTCCTCACATACAGTATTGCAGTAGACCCACATGAGCAGTAAAGGTTACAATTCTAACTGCATCATTTGTAATCATTCTAATGAGCTATATGAATATATATTTCTCCTAGAGAGAAACACTAGATTTCATGTCACCCTTCCTTGTGATTATTTTTTAATGATATTCCAAAACTGCAGAGTAAGCGGAGAAGAAAGATTTTGCCCGCAGCTGCCGGCTTGTTGTTACTGGGTAGGAATCATCCATTGTGTAGCTCCAAGAATGAAACTACTTAAAATATGTAATAAGGCAATTAAATGCTTTTCAGCAGAGTGCTTATAGCTTATTTGCTCAAGCTGTTACGTAAATCATAGAGATAAATCACTAGACACCATTACAGATCAGTTCCCTAGCTACTTGCCGCTGTCCTCCCCTCCTTGTAGGCGACCTGCTTAATGTAATTCTGAGAAGGTTAAGGAATAGCTCATTCAGGCGATTCACTAGGAGAGATGGGCCCCATGATTCCTTTTTGAGCAAGGCACAGGAATGCTATGACCCCAGAACAGATTACTAGGTCTTGTTTCAGGAAAAAGGGTTTCTTATTAACATAGTAGACACAGAAGAGGGTGAGAAAAGCAAGGCAACCAATTAGAAATCAGGTTTTAGGGGGTTTGCTATGAGTTACTGAACATCACTGTTTTTATGCTAAATTATAAAATAAAGCTATATACTATACACGGCTTCCTTGATCACATGTTCATGCAACTGCAACAACAAAGAAGACTTGTTACCTAATGGATTCATTCTTCACCCGCAGACATCCTGTTAAATCAAGATGTTCTAGATCTCGGCAATTTTTAGCAGTTTCTTCTACAGCAATATCACTGATGTTTGCATTGACAGCCAGCGATAGAGATTTCATCCATTTGCGCTTTTGCACCAAATAGCATACCGCATCATCCTTCAGCTGACGACATGCTGTCAGATCCACGGCCTCCAAATGTTTGCAGTGATCTGCCAGACTGCGGAGGGAAAGGCAGTCTACCCATTCACAGTGGCCGAGGCAAATGTTCTGTAAGTGAGGGCAGCTGATTGATAAGGCCACCAGGGACTGCCGGCTCAGCTGCACGCAACTGTTAAGGTTGATATGAAGAAGATGATGGTTCTGTCCAATGACAGGAAGGAGCTCTTTGTCTGTTAACCAATCAGAACAGCTTCGTAAGTCAAGCCTTTGTAATACCGAATTGTGTTTTAGCATATTGCAAAAAGCGCTTTTCGGTAACTGCGAGCCAAGCTGTAAAAATAGAAAAGATTAGGTAACTATATATAGGAAAATATTACAAACCTATGTCAAAATGTTCACTGGCTCTCATATGTAATCGACCAGATCAGTTATATTCAGCTTTACTTAGATGTCAAGTCATCTTGTAACATTCATTCTGTGGTCAGTTTTTAGGAGAGTAAGTAATGACTCTGCTTATGCAAGAATATGAAAATGTAGTCTTGTATAATATCAAAAAAAGAGCATTTCCTGTTAGTAACAAAGGAGGGTTCCTGAGCCCAAGCAGCTTTACACCCTAAGTAAGGTATACACGCATCAAATTCACCAGGAACCGGACGAAATTCACACAGTGGGTGTGCTGCCCGCAACCTACTATCCAGCATCCTTCGATTAGCTGATTGAAGCAGGAGGATTGAAAATTCTCTGCCAAAAGGAGTTTACAGCCAATCAGTTACAAGCTCCGTTAGGGTACTCAGACAGCAGCTGGCAGCCACTGTCAGAATACAGGAGATGCAGCGGGGGATTCCTCCATCCACACTCGTAAGTGTTGATGGAGAAATCTGTTATATTTTCTTTTCTACATACAGTATACATTTCTTATACATATATTTTTACCTGTTCAGCCAGCAGGTAAATAATATATGTCTCTACCTGGCTTTAGTGAGGATGCTCCAACTTCCTGTGGCTCTGTTGTCTATATTCCAACAAATAAAACACTAGGGGGACTCGTATAAGTGTTTCATAAATAAGTCTGAACACATGAAATCATTAAAAAATTAATTTGTATTTTGAGATACTTGCTATTAAAAAGGCTTAATCCACCTTTAAGACCAAATATATTTAGGGTGTAACATGAAACATGGCTGCATTACCCAACTCCCCACCCTCAAACTGCTTCCTTCCTCCTCCACTTATCTGAATCATGGAGCCTTCCGGTTTGGGTTTGGTTTTAATAACTCTGCGTCATCCATTCACAGATCTGATCTACCACTGCAGCAGAGGGACTCACAGATCTCAATGGAGCACCAGTGCGGTGACATTACTGCACTTGTAGTCCATTGTTTACTTCCACCAGCCCCATAACTAAAGGCCCATACCAAGGTACTGGGGCTGAGGGGAAACAGTGCAGGAGCCTGTGAATAGCACCCATGCTGCACTGTTGCAATGCTCTGTAGGCATCAATGCAAACATTTAATAAATGCGCATTTTTATTACTACGGGTGATCTATGCCTTCACCTTTATTAGATAGAAGACTCTCTTCTGTGCTGCACTCTGATTTTATTTCCCTTTGTTACTGGGTGCTTGACTTTCCCTGACTTCATGATTTATACAAAACTAGAAGTGTGGCATTCACTCACTAAGCCAAACTTTTTAAATCCACCTTGTGATTTCAACCTCCCCCGCCCCCCTAAAAAAGAACTTAATCCAAGATATTGTCTGTATCCATACAGCTCAAGCATACCAGTTTCCTGAGGCAAACCCTGAGTCTTTATAAAGCCGTGAATGTGACTTTCGCCAAACATTCACTGGTGATGAATCAATCACAGTCATTTAAACACATGTACTTGGAAGATTCACCTGCAGCAAATTGTTTTTGTGTGGATGTCAGATGAACTGCTTTATAAATATGTCCCTTAGAGCAGTGTTTCTCAATCTGTGTAACCTCAGGACCCACATTTGTCCTTGGTCATTAAGTCACGACCCAAGTCACACTGCAAGGGAACAAACGGCATTACAGTACTGCGCGTTCCGGTGCAGGTGGTCGAACTATGGGTGAGAGGTGGGTTTGGGGTACCATTCAAATGAATGGTAACGCAACACACCTTCCACACCATAATGCATGGTAGGTGCAATTACGTGGTACATTGCATTAATCGCACTTGACTACCCTACCTTACGAGAACTGGAGTGGATTCTCAGCCTGGGGTTCAGTGTGGGCTGCTACGCTGTGACGGAGCTCCATCCATATGTGTATTGCTTGTACAGCTCTCTTGCCCACCCTGTAAAGGTGCCAGGAGCTAGAATGTGACGTCGCTCCAGTCCAGGCATCTCTAAAGGACTTGTGGGGGAGCAATAAGCAATGCATGTATGAATGTAGCTCCCTCGCAGCCATAGCCCCAACCCATCCCACCTCGGTGCAGCGCAGCATATTTTGAATGGCTGCTTGGCACAAGAACTGACAGTGCTGTGCTATAGGGAGGCTGAGCAGACTCTCACCAAGAAAAGTGGAAGGCATGCGGTGACCCACTGAACACATTGAGAGCCAAGGCCTTAGTGTATATCTAAACCATCTTCCTTTTTATTCATGGTTACATTGGTAGCGTTAGTATAATTCTCTCCCCTTTGCTTGGTTCAGCTCCAGTGTACAGGTTTCCATGGTTACAGCTCCCGATAGTAAAGCTAGGCTGTGGCATTTTCGGTTGCATTAGCAACCTGGTATGATGGTCCTCTGCTGCATCTGCAGTAACGTTATATATGAGCATAGCCGATAAGCTCTTAGCTGGAGTTTTTGCTCAGGTGAACTGGCTTAATCTGTATTCTCATGATAAAGCACCAGCAGCAATAATCCAGTAATGTGATCCAGAACTTCCAGTTACTCATTTATCTATTTATGATTATTTTTACCTTTTTTTTTTTTTTAACAAGACACACTTTTCTTTATACAGTAACAGTAACGGGTTCTAAACACTACTATTATGAGCAAAGAGCAAGGGTGATATAGTTATTAATAGAAGGCTTATGTCACAATGTAATGTGTCATTATGGTACATGTTGCGACAGCTACCAGAAAAAGGGTTAATTAATTATGCACATGCCAAACAGGGGTTGCGCCTACCTCCCTATCTCACCTTTCTTAATAGGTGAACTTTGAGTGTAATACTATGTTGAATTTTTCTAACATAGGGACTATGTCTGTACACTATGGATTTTAAAACGGAGCTCCACGCACACGTATAAATACACAGATTAAGTACATAGAAGAGAGATGTTTTAGCAAGCAAAGGATTTGCATTCTGCCCATTAAGTCCTGAGATTTCCATTGAACTTTCAGGAGGATGGCGCCACTTTCTCTGTTATGGTTAAGGAATACATTGGTGGCACCCGAGCTTGTGATTGGACAGTAAAGGCCACGCCATATCCAGTGAGTCCCAGAGCAGTTCGGGCCGGGAACGCACTGGATCGCATATATCAAGCCGGGCCACGTTCTGGGCAGCAGCATTTTTTCAGATCGCAGTGCACTGGAACAGAGGGCATTCCTGTACCTCACGTTCTGCTGCAGGTGATTGCACTGCGGGCGGGGGGCGTGTCTGCGGTGCTATTGACATGAATGGCACTGACATGCCCCACGGGAGTGAACTACACCGGGATGCACTGGATATGGTGTGACTGGGCCCTGAAGGAGCACCAGTGCGATCTTTGTCAGTGAACTGGCATGCAACATACGTGATTGGCTCCTAATACTGGCTCTATCTTACCCAGTCTGAGTTATAATGTACTCTCTTAGACCCCATTCACACTGAGCGACATGGATATTGCACGTTTTTCCGTGCGATTTCCTGCTGAGCGGCTAGAGCTACATTGCGCGATATTGAGCGACATTGCACATTATATTGCGCTACGTATCGTGTTTTTGGGCGGGACTTCATCGCTGCTACATTGGGCTGTAACCAATCAACAGCAATCTTGATGTGACATCATTCTTTCCTTCCATTTTGCAGTGCAAAAGTAACCCTCCTGTAGCGTGATATCGCGCAACAAAGTCGTGCAATATTGCTGGTAATGCGCGATTTTGCGTGACACCATAGAGTGTATTGGAGCCGAATCACGCGACATCCGTGGAAAAAATGTATGAACGACGAGCTACAGGCGACATTGAGCTGTGAGATGTGAACTGCTCCATTGAAATGCATTGGGCAAGCTACATAGAGCGATATCGCGCGGAAATATGCGCAATTTTGCGGCGGAAATCACGCGATAAACCGCTCAGTGTGAACGGGGCCTTACAAAGGAGAGTCACAGAAACAGATATTCCCATTGGAAGATTTCCTCTCACCCCCTATACGGGCGACAGCTGTATAATTTTGTATTACCTCATCAGTTGTACTTTTTATCATCTGCGGCTCTAAAATAAGCTACAATATTCTATCAAAGTGTTCATGTTTTAACGTTTAACCGAATTAATTGACACAGGAAGCTTGGGGTGCCTGCACATATGTCTAGCTATCTTCTAAAACCTAAGGCAGGGGTGGGCAACTCCGGCCCTCTAGCTGTTGTGAAACTACAAGTCCCATGAGGCATTGCAAGACTGTAGAGATTTGTAGGTAAAGCACAACTTGAGGGCTGGAGTTGCCCTCCCCTTAACTAAGGCATTCAATATCTAAATGATGTCTTTGTGCTTCAAAGTCAGAGCTATCAGAGCCCTGGAATACCTCCCTGGCCTTATTCTTTGCTCTTGTGCAGGCAGAGGGGACCGAAGGTCTGTCTTTGCAGCAGATGACTGATATTTTCTGATTCGGCATTCTGGCTTTTGGAGCTCATGACTCCTGGCTCCCTGTCATGTGCCATTGGAAAATCTCTTTGTGTATGGTCAGAATTATACAGACAGATTGATTGTAAATGTGATTATCGGCACTTCTGAGCAAAACAAGGTACAATTTAGGTTTACGTAGATGCAGAAATGACTGATCTACTTCAAGTAAGTGATGTTGCCAAGTTAAGAGTACCTGTTATTTCTTCATATGTAACTGACCATATAAGCTTTGTAACATCCTTTTCCAGCCAGCCATGTCACCTACTGCTCAGTATATAAAAGGTCAGTGTTTCTGCGAGAGAAATGTCTGACTCTTACAACATCTTCATTCATGTCCTGGGACCTCACAGATGAATAGTATTGTGCTGCAATCCAAATTCATTAAAGTGCAACCAAAGCCAAACTTTTTTTTAGTTTTGGATGGAGTAAAGAGCAATTAGAACGCCTGTCAGGTTCTTATTGCTTTTTGTGTCCCAGTTAGGGAACAATCACCCTCTCTATTTGTCCTGGTGACCATTATCACCATTGTCAATGAAAGAGTGGGTGGTCACCAGAGCAGGAATAGATGGGAAATCTTCCAATGCGGACACTAGTTCTGGTGACCCTGCTAACCCCAAGGGATTTTCTCCCACTCCCTGTTGTGGTTATTGGGCAGGAAATGAAGGGTAATCTCCCCAATAGAACTATAGCACCCACACAACTGTTACAAGTCTAAAGGTGCCCATACACCTTGTGATTATCGTACGGAAAACAAACGCAATCGCATTGTCATACTATAATCGGCCAGTTGATGGAAAGGGCACGATCGCAATTAAAGTACAACTGGCGGAATTTGGTTGAACGGGCAAACTAGAAAACTTTCGTTGAAGCGGATGAAAATCCATGGAGTAGTGGTGTTTTTGTTCAACAGAAATCGCAACATGCACACTGCATATGCGCAAACAAAAATCCGTTCTGTCGATCGACAAAATTCGGCCAGTTAGTATTGCTAATGAACGATAATTGAAATCTACATTGGTCTGTGCATGATGGGGTATTCAAGCGGAAATTGAACGAGGGTGTGATGATGGGACAAACAAAACCGAACGATAATTGTAAGGTGTATGGCCACCTTTACATTGCCAGCAAAAAAAGTTTTCCTGCAAAGTACATCTAGAACCAGGGAAAGCTGGGACATGTGGAGCGCTGCTAAATATGGCAATGGCTATTTTGCTAATTGTTGACTTGACAAAAAAAGTTTTTAAAAATATGTAATTGCATGGTATAAATTAGGGATGCACTGATACCGTTTTTTCAGTAGAGAGTAAGAGTACCAATGTTTATATTTCAGTACTCGCCGATACCGGGTACCGATACAGGTACTTCTGGTAGCATAGAGCCGGCTTCCTGGGCAATCAGGGAGCCAGGCGGCGTGTCATTACCCTGGAAGCCGACTCCATGCTGTTTGGTCGGCTCGATGCTGATTGGCCAAGAAGCCGGCTTCCCAGCCCATCAGCATCGAGCAGGCCAAACAGATCTGATAATATGGTGACACAACCTCCACCCTACAGACACCCCATTCTCCACAGACCCATATTCATCCTCAGCAGCAGTCATTACTGTACCACAGATGTCCCTCAGCCAGCTGGGCAGACACCACTCCCCTAGCTCTCCCGGATCTACCCGCAACTCCTGTGTGTACAGCGCCCGCACCGCCTGCGTGATCGGCCCTCAGCCTGCTACTGCGCATGCGCAGACTACCCAGCGCTCTCATTCAGAAAACCTCTAACAGCATCAAGCAGGTGGTGCTGGCGCTACACACACCGGATTCAGGCAGCGGTAAATCGGCTTGGAGAGCGGAGTCTGGCTGAGGGACATCTTTGGTACAGTGATGAGTAGTGCTGAGAATTGATGTGAGGGGAATGAGGTGTCTGCAGGGCGGAGGTTGTGTCCCCATATTATCAGATGTTTGGCCTGCTCAATGCTGATTGGCTGGGAAGCCGGCTTCCTGGCAAATCAGCATAGAGGCGGCCAAACAGCATGGAGCCGACTTCCCGGCTCCACGTTCCCTCTCGGCACTGCCGGTCAGAGGAAAGCTCCCTCTGACCGGAAGTTCCGATATCCGGAAAGGAATCAGAGCATTTGGGCGAGTATGAGTAGTTGTCCAAATACTAGGTAATGTCACGGTAACTAGTATCGGTATCTGTGCATCCCTAGTATAAATATACAAGCACTTCATGAAAAAATAGAGAAAGTGGAAGTGGTTGTGTGGTGGTGGGTGTCCTGCAAAGTAAAGTTGGTATCATGTAAAGTATCATGCAAAGGATTGCGCTGCCACAGCATACCATAGGAATGGTCTACATAAGCGGTTGATGTAGGCCAGCCTTTCTCAACCAGGGTGCAGTGGCGCCTTGGGGTGCCTTCTGACTTCCTCAGGGGTGCCTCCAAATTTTCACACAACGCGTGTCTCTGATGTAAAGAGGGCTTCCAATGAGAAATAGGGGGTCTCTGATATGAAGGGGGGCTTCTGATGTGAAGAGGGGCTCCTAGTATGAGAGGGGGGACTCCTGATGTAAAGGGAGACTCTGATGTGAAAGAGGGAAACCCAATTTTTCAGGGTTTTTTTGCATGGGGTCCCCCCTTAAAATCTATACCAGACCACATTTTCTGATAAGGCACTGGTATAGATTCTGGAGGGACCACAGATCATTTTTTTTACATTTAAAGATTGAGGAAGCCTGGTGTAGGCTGACAGTCCCATAACACTGCATGTGATCATTCCCGCAAACTTGTAAAGGAACATTGGCTCAGTCTTCCACAATGTAACATTAGATATTAGGTAAAGATAACCTTTCCGACCACTGAACAGAGAAAACCAGGCACAGAAGAATGATCAGGTATCAGTTTATCCCTTTTAAATCTTTAGACAACATTCCTCTGTGCCCCAGAAATCCCATGAAGCAAGAAGCAAACATGGACTTTTAGAAAGCCAACATCCACATTGCATTATGTAGTATATGTAGGGGTGTAGACTTTCTGGTGTGATCCCCATGTAATGGCCAAAGCAGCTGATGAATCCAAGAAATGAGGGGCAGAGGCCTCACCACCAGTCCAAAAGTCTAGGCACTGATGGAACACGGAGACTGCTATTGCTGACCTCTCCTGAAAATGCTAGTTGCCTCTTTTTTATGTTGACCCAAGGGCTTCAATAGTTTCTATATCACTGACCTGGAACAAGTATGCCAATCAGGAGTTCTGATTTCACTTGTTACATGCTTGCCCCATGGCAATGACTCAAAGTATTGAAGGCAGAAACAGAAGGAGGTCTGCAACGGAAGCATACATATTTCTCTCAGCAAAGGTGTACATTGAGAATCATTTAAAAATGATTAAAATGATTTATGTAGTGCAGATTTGAAGTCAGGGAGGCCCATACTAAGTTCATCCCATTTGTGGCATATAAAAGGTATTACATTGTGCCAACATAATTGATGTCCTGTGTAAGTGAGTGGTTCCTCATTACTGCACTGTAACATCAAAACTGAGAACCAGTATTTCTAAGGGAGAGAAAAAACAAACAGCCATTTTTTTCTGAACTCTTGCAGGAGTAAAGCTGCCCATACACCTGACGATTATTGTACGATAATTGCGGGTGATCCCGCGATCGTACGATAATCGTAAAGTGTATGGGCAGCGTGCAACCGCATATACTGTAAGGTTGCACGCTAGGAAAACCGCCGGAAATTGTACGATTTTCCAGTGGGTTGGTAGCGTGATCGCAAGACGAAAGCCGCAGGGCCCGAGGTGCGAAGGCGCACACTGCCTGCTCACCATTGCAATCATCTGTAAGCCCTCCCCTCAGCGGGTTGTACGAACTTTTAATCACCTTACAACCATCGCACAACGTAAGTCGTGCGATGGTTGTAAGGTGTATGGCCCCCTTAAGGCTACCCCAGCCTGCAGAGGGTTAAGTGCTCGTTTTGGTCTAGGTGCTAAAGTAACAAAGTTATACTCACCTGAACTGCAGAGCCAGCTGGCTGCTACTCCGGTCCGATCCTCCTCCGTTGCAGCGATGGTATGTTCAGTGGCGTAACTATGTCCAGGCGGCCGCTATGGGGCCTGGGCACAGTGAAGCCCAGCCAGGACACCCCCTTGATGCCGTGCGGGCCGCCTGGGTCGCTATGGCTTTGAACGCGCCGCTGTGCAGATCACTGTCAGTGATCTGTGCAGCGCTGCGTTCTTCTCCACAGCCGCTGCTGAGTCAATGAGAGCCAGCAGTGGCGGTGGAGGAGGCTGGACCCGCAGGGGAGGAGGAGGCGGGGCCCGGGGGTCAGCAACAGAGAACGAGGCAGGGCCGGCGACGGAGGAGGAGGTGGGCCCGGCTAGGGAGGAGAGAAGAAGAAGAGACGGACCCCCATACAAAATGTTGATATGGGGCCCTGTGATTTCTAGTTACTCCCCTGGGTATGTCTATCACTGATCTTCAAGGGTACCTGTGGTCCAAAACTAAAAATAAATCTGTATTTCGATGTTGATTTTCAATAAGTTCTTTCCCACTCCTAACAACCATATCAATCTAGACGTTTGTAAACTAACTTTTTGAAGATGCTCAAAGGGATGTACTTGCTCAATACAGAGACACAATTTCACTCAGCACTGTAAATATGCACTTCCTGTATCACCACTCTCATGGAGCCTGGTGTCCAACTGCAACTCAACTCTTTTCACCTCTCTCACAGTGAACACAGGAAAACCCCACAATGAAAGCAATGCATGATGGGATATGTAGTCTTGAGAAATGGAGATTGCATCACATCAAGCAGCAGGGAAAGAGATGCAAAGGACACTGGGAATCCAGGAATTTGTTGGAAGTGATGGACAGACAGAAGGCGGCACTCACTAAATAAAAGGGATTTTCATAAGCTTTGACTGCATTATCAAAAACAACTCTAGTATGTATTCCTATTACAATGCTGATGTTATAACAGGAGAGGATATGCTGTGACATTACAACTCCTTTAAGGAACATTTACAGGACATAGAGACACAAATAATACCTGTGTGGAGTCAAAGCTACGACAGTTGGCCAGATAGAGCTGCACTAAGGACTGAAACACTTTGCTGACCCTCTGCAGAGTTATGATGTGTCGCAATGGTAAATAGGACAGGATATGAGGGACCAGCACATCTTCCCAAGGCAGATCCAACAGATGGAGACTGGAGATAAAACAGAATAACAATAAGATTTTGGATAATTCGGGATGTAATCCTTATTTATATTTCCCTATAAGAAAGACCTAAAAAACAAACTGTCCACCATATATAATAAATGAAACATTTGACATGCAGTATGTACATAATACAGATAACATCACCTTCCATCCACTTACCCCAATCTCTGTCATTTTCACTGGCATGTACATTTATGGATACATTTAAATAAAGGCATTGATTATAATGACAAATATCACTACATGCATTAACTGCAAATTATTTTCAGAATACACTGGGGGAACGTATCAAAACTGGAGCAGACACAATCTGGAGCAGTTGGCAACCAATCAGCTTCTCTCTTCAGGTTGTTCAGTTAAAGGAGAACTATGGGGTTAAGGCTTTTCCCCATAGTTCTCTTTAGGGTAACGGGAGGACACAAACTAGCATCCTCCCGTCACCTTAGGCTCAGTATACCGCGAGCTGTATACTGAGATGCCGCAGCTGAAGCGGATCCCGACAATTGTGCCGGGATCCGCCCAGCTGCGTGACTGACAGCTGGCTCTGCCTATCTAGAGGCAGAGCCAGCTGTACCCGCCCCTCCCCCGTCCGTTCCGCCAGTCAGCGCTGGCGGATCGGAGAGGGGGGAATCCAGCCCCTTCCCTGTCACGGCAGAGAGCTGTGACAGGATCGAGAGGTGAGCGAATGCCGGTATGTGTTCGCTCACCTCCCGATCTACTGAGCTGACCTGTGGCAGTCTCATTGTCACAGGTCGGCTAGAACTATGAGGTGAGTGAAAAGCACTCACCTCATAGTTCTCCTTTAAGATTTGAAAATTAAAGAGAGAAGCTGATTGGTTGCAGTGCACAGCTGCTCCAGATTCTGTCCACTCCAGTTTTGATAGATCCCCCTCACTATTTTTGCCAGTAGTTGCTTTGATAGTTGTATTTGAAATCAAAAACACTCTGGAGGGGGATTTATCAAAACTGGAGCAGACAAAATCTGGAGCAGTTGCTCATGGCAACCAATCAGCTTCTCTGTTCAGTTAAGATCTGAAAACGAAAGAGAGAAGCTGATTGGTTGCCATGCACAGTTGCGCCACATTTTGTCTGCTCCCGGTATGATAAATTCCTTTCGCTTTATTTATTTGCTTTATCTGCTTTAAACCATAATTATAGTGTCAAAGTCCATGTAATAATGTAGTGTAGCACACAGAGATAGGAAAGGAGTGTAGCAAGATCCTGTTGGCCTGAAGATGCAAATAGCACAGCTTAGCTAAATAATGTTCACAGAAGGCTCTGTGTAAAGCTGACAGAGTGTATTTCCACTTTCGCAGATGAATTGGGATAATTCCCATTTTATATTTGTTACATGTTCACATTTACATAGAATAAGCTAAAAAAAAATGTTTCTTGCAGTTTAAATTGCTTTTACTTGGGTTGGGGTTCCTACTTGTCTTATTAAAGGAGAAGTATTGGGAGACCAAAATACACTCTTCCCAATACTTAAAGCCGGCGTGTGACACTGCAGCTGTCACATGCTGGCTCTATAGATTGAGAACTGAACGATCACATACTGCCGATCACTCGGTTCACAATCTTCTCACTGCAGAGACCGGTGACTGTCAGTCACCTTTCCCCACAGGGATTCCCCCCCCCCCCCCCCCAGCGCGGACACCCCTTCCCCCGCGGGATCCCCCCCCCCCCCCCTTCTATCTGTTTCTCCAGTGCTCATTAGAGGGACAGAGAGGTGAGGGGGCGGGCACAGCTAGCTCTGGATCTAGAGAGGCAGAGCCAGCTGTCAGTCAGGCAGTGGGGTGGATCCTGACAATATTGTTGGGATCTTTACCAGCTTCAGCGCAGCTCTGTGCTGTCAACAGAATGACCAGCATTGTCAACAAGTTAAAGAAAGTTGGGAAAATAACTGATATACAGGCAGAATCAACAGGTAATAAAACAATGTTATGAAAAGGACTCAGAAAAACAAGAACTGCTATGTTGATCTTACTGACAGATACAGTAGCAGAATACTGTATTTGTCATTTTAGATTTTGGCCATATTTCTACATTAAAGTGTATGTGTAGTCAAAACTTTTCTTTCCCATAACGTCTTCCAGGACAGCATCACGAGATGGAATCTCCTCCCCCACACACAGGAAACACGTCACTTAATCTGTTTAAAAGCACCTCCTCTCCTCCACTCCCTCAGTCTTTTGTGTTTCCTCAGTCAAGCTGGGGAGCGTGTCACAGAACGCTGAGAGGGGCTTCCATGTGGTGGTGATGCTGCCCAGGAAGTCTTCTTTTGTTTATGCCTGCCTGTGTAAGGCAGAGGGTGTAGGTTTACCTACCTTGTGTGAGCCCCAGGGATTCTCCTAGCGCTGCAGGAGATGAGGCTGGCTTCCTTTCCCCCTTCAGTGCCCAGTGCGGGCCGGGACCGGGAGGACGAAACCCCCTTGGCTGGTCAGGGGAATCGGTGGACCGCCGTTCAGAGGGGTCTGTCCGGTTCTCAGGGCCTCGGGAGGTGTTCCACGGCCAGGCCGGGTGGCCGCGTACGTCACTTCCGGCGTGGGTGACGTCATTTCCGGGCGCCGGGCTTGTGCGTTCCAAGCCTCGTTTTCGGCGCAGGAGGAAGGGGAGGGCTCGGCTGGTGCTTAATACAGCGTGGATCTCAGTAGTGACTGAGAGGAAACGCTGGCAGGCTTCTCTTCAACAGGCTCTGCAGACATGGATCCTGGGTTACCTCTGCAGCTTGCAGTGACTGCGGATACCGGTCTTCAAAGCACCAGCACGGCTCAGGTATGGAAGATGTGTATTATCTTACCTCCCTGTTACCTCTGATGTTTCTTTTCCTCCACCTGGGGTCCCTTGGTGTTGGATGCTTTGGTGTTGAGGGACACTCTAACCCCGTTTTTGAGTAAAGGACAGTGGGTAACAGGGCTCCTTGGTGTCTTTCAGGTTAAAGAAAAAACGAAGGTGGCCCCAAAGAAAAAATGTGCAGTTTGTGCGGTGAAGTTGAGCTCCGGTTATGTTAAAAACCTACGTCTGAAGTGCATTGAGGGTCTTCTTAGGGAAGAGTCTGCTGCAGCCAGTGGCAACCTGTTGGTTTCTGTTAGGGAGGAGTTATCTGCTACATTTAATTCCTTCAGGTCTATTTTAGAGGGGTTCCGGGCTCCAATTCCCACAGTTGCTTCTACCCCTGTGCCTTTTTCTGCCTCTGTCCTTTCTACTCAGGGGGGGCCGACGGGATCCTTACGGCTATCTGAGCAGGAGGATCTTAGCAAGCCCGGTGCTTCTCAGGGTGGTTCGTCATCCGAAGAAGGGAGTGCCAAGGACGATGTGCCTAGCTCTTCCAGGTATAAGTTATCCTTGGAGGATGTGGATGAATGACTGACTGCAATTTATAGCACGTTAGAGATCCAGGAAGAGCAGGTGCAGTTATCCAGACATGACCTTATGTATCAAGGTTTGCAGCTTAAAAAATCTAAATGCTTCCTGTTACATAAGGTCTTGTCAGAGACTATTCTCAAAGAATGGGCTGAGCCTGAGAGAAAGCCTCTGAAGTCAGGGAACCTCAAGAGGAGGTTTCCTTTTGATGAGGATCCAGCCTTGGTGTGGAATAAATCTCCTAAGCTGGATGCTCCGTTAGCTAAAGTATCCAAGAGATCTGACTTAGCCTTCGAGGACATGGGGGTTTTGAGGGACACCATGGATAAGAAGATTGAGGTTCTTTTGAAAAGGGCATGGGACTCTTCTTCGATGAACCTTAGACCGGGTCAGGCTACTACGTGAGTGGCCAGAAACATGGAGTTTTGGCTATCGCAATTTAGAACGCATCTGCTGGCGGGTACCCCGAGAGCACAACTCTTGGAGTCGCTACCTATGCTCTTCAAGGCGGTAGGTTATATCGCAGACGCATCGGCAGAATCTGTGCGGATGTCGGCCAGATCTTCAGCCCTTATTAGCTCTTCCCGCAGGGCCCTGTGGTTGGAAGCATGGGAGGGAGTTGCCGCCTCAAAGCTGAGGTTATGCAATCTCCCCTTTTCAGGTGACTTGCTTTTTGGGGCAGAGTTAGAGAATATTCTGGAGGGCACGGCTGACAAGAAAAGGGCTTTTCCAGAAAAGAAGAAAAAACCTTTTCGGAAATTTTTTTGGAACCAGAAGGGTAGGCCTCAGGAAAATAAAGGGGACAAGCCCAAAAAAGAGAAGCCTATGGTGGTGGAGAATTCATCCACACCATCGGGCGGGTCTGGAGTGGAGTTCTCAGGCCTTCATACGCTTGACCACGGATACCAAGCTAAGGCAGTTTTTTTCCCTCCAGCAGGGGGATTCCCCTCTGGCTGGGGATGCCCTGTCAAATCCATGGGACTTCCCCCTATGCTACGCTTTTCCCCCGTTGCATCTAATCCCAAGAGTCCTTCAGAAATTCAGGTTAGAGGAGACGGAGCTAATATTGATTGCACCATACTGGCCGAAGAGAGCCTGGTTTGCCCTTTTGCTTTCACTCACGGATCGCTCACCTTGGATCCTGCCCAACAGACTAGATCTGATCTCGCAGGGACCAGTGCGGCATCCGCAGGTCCTCAGGTTCAAACTGGCAGCTTTTTATCTGAGGAAGACATTTTGAGAGCCAAGGGTCTGTCCACGAGTGTGATCAATACACTTTTGTTCAGTCGTAAACCGGTAACAAGGCGTATATACGGAAGGTGTGGAAGACGTTCAGCTCCTGGAGGCTTCGTAATCATAGAGATTATGCAGTCCAAGCCGTTTTGGATTTTCTACAACAGGGGGCTGATATGGGGCTGGCAGTTAGTACCCTGAGGGTTCAGGTATCAGCACTCAGCGTTTTCCTTCAGGTGTCACTGGCTAGGGATCAGCTTGTGGCTAGGTTCTTCAAGGCCCTTGAAAGGCTTAGACCAGTAGTGGTCCGTTCAGTTCCCCAGTAGAATTTGTCTACGGTGTTGCAGGTTCTCACAGCCGCTCCCTTTGAGCCCTTGGATGACATCTCAC